AATTTTGTTGATTATTTCTTTGGAAGATTCGGTTTGCGGTGCTCGCTGGAAAAGAAAAACAAGAAGAAGAGGAAGAAAAAAACAGGTCGTTGTTTCTTGGCAGCGGCGTTGCCTAGGCACCCGGGCGCTAACTCCTAACAGGGAGGCATTGTCGTCACTTCACCCCTCCCCTCCCGCTCTGCATGCACGCGCGTGTCGAGAGACGTGTCCTGCGGGGGAGGTCGCCGCCGCCCAGCGTCCCACGCGCCGCGACCGGCAGGGACGGGCGGCGTCGCTTCTTCCGACGGCGTGTGTGCACGTGCGCGTGTGTGCGGGCGAGTGATAGAGTAAATTCGAGGGAAGTGAGCGACACCTGCCCGCAACGGTCGCCTCGCTGCGACCCCGCTGTTTGCCCCATGTGAAAACCTACTTGCCCACACCCACACACGCAGTGAGGGGATCAATTTATTGTTGTTGTTTTTTTCTTTCTGACGGCGTCGCGGCGGTGTGTGTTTCCCAGGGGCCTCTCGCATCTACCACGGAGCACATCAGAGCAACACAGCACTAGAAGGGCCGGGACCGCAGCGACAACAGTCAACGAGAGGGCGGTACGCTGCGTGGCGCGCAAGCGACCTGGAAGTAAGGGGAAGGGCAAGGCAGGGCAGGAAGGGGCACGCCCATTTTTGTGCACACTGCCGCATACATTACACGCCGGCCTGAGGGAAGTAATACCCTTCTCTGCGGCGAACTGAACGTCAAAATGTCTCGGCGCTCGCAGTGGGAGAGCATGCGGCAAGAGGCACGGAGTAGAGTGTACGAAGTGGATTCCTCGCCCGCCGTGGAAAGTGCACCCAATCACGATCCCTGGTTTGGTACACCGGGCGAATCTGCCGAGCGCGTTTGCCTGCTATCCCGCAAGCCAGGCTGCCTGGAAGGGAAAGGCGCAAACCATCCAGAAGAAGACACTACTGGGAAGGGAAAGGAGCGAGGTAAGCGGGCCGCCAAGGCAGGCGCGGACGCCGAAGAGGAAGATGGCGACCACATCGACGCCGTTCGTAGACTTCATAGCGTAGAGAAGGCTGAGGTGTCGTTGGTGCCGGTCCTTGAGCCCCACCCTAGTCCTCCATTGGGAGACATTGTCTCGGCGGAGACGACATACAACAGCTATTTAGTGCTGGGGACCCCGCATGAGGAGAGGCGTGCGCTCGCGGCCAGCGGCAGTTTCTCTGCGGGAGAAAATATACGGGAGTTGAGTACGGCTGGCAGCGATAACGGTGTCATGTCGCTCCAGCTTGAACTAGCACAGGAGAAGAGAAAAAACATTCTCGCGGAGCAGCGCCTGTTATCGCTAGATAGAGAGATCAAGGAGCTCCGAGCGGAGAACATGCGAAAGGTGGCAGCTGCTGCAGAGGATGCAGCCGCCATAAAGGTGGTTAGTGCCGAGAGGCAGCTGACGGGAGCAGGAGGAGGAGCCGCTGCGCCGGGCGCTAGAAGTGGCGGTGGCCCGGCATACTTGGAGCAGATGGTGAGGGAGCTGCAGGAGGAGCTGGACATGATGAAGGAGTACACGAAGGAGTTGGAGGCGCGTCTGGCGGAGCGGTCCAGCGCCTTGGAGCGACGCTGCCGGGAGGTGGAGCAAAAGGAGCACCGCATCCGCCAGCTGGAGCGCACCATGGCGGATGAACTGATCCGACGCTCCAAGGAGGAGCCCGCGGAGAAGAGTGCGGCGAGTGTCACGCCTACCCCGGCCACCGCCGCCGCTGATGACGGTAAGCATCAGTCCCGCAACCACAAGGAGCGTCATCATGAGGGCGCCGGCGACGCACATGAGGAGCCTGAGAAGGCACCGCGCGAGAAACTGATAGGCGGCGTGGCGGTGCCCTCCGTGGTTCGTCGCGCCATCGTCCTAGCGCGCTCGCGCTCGGATCAGGAGCATCCGGTGGGGGCCGGCGCCCATGAGCCGGCGACGCAGGGATCCTCTGCGCCGCCTCGCGCACGCGCACCGTCCTCCGATCCCCCTGCGTCGCATGAAAAGCCGCGGCAACGGTCCTCCTCCGCGTCGCAGCAAAATCCGCAGACAAGCGGCCACACCACGCGCAGAGCCGGCGCCGCGCATGAGCCCGACCATAGCGCTGCTGCCCGTAATGAGGGGCATCCCCAGCAGCCTCGGGCGCGGTTGGCCTCCGTCCCCACCATGCCGCGAAGTGCCTCTTTGCTCGGCCGCCGAAGCATGACGCCGGTCGCCACTTACTCGCTGAAAACACGTCGCAGGGATATTGCCGAAACGCCGGCGCCAACGCCCATGCGTCCGTTGCGTGCCCCACGAAAGAAGCCGGTTTCCAAATTGGTCAACCCCGACGCGAGGTCCTCGGTGAAGCGGAAGAGCGCAAGCCCCACACCACACGTCAAGCATGCGGGTGATTCGCTGCACGCACACACGGCCCTGGCTTCCTCGACGACGTCGCGTGTTGGCGTCGCCCGGCCGCCGCCGCTGGAGTCCTCCGTGCTGTCAGTGTCGGCCATGAGCGCAAACGCGTCTACGCTGCATCACGCAGAGACACGCTCCGTCGTCTCAACCGGTCGTTCGCGGCCACGCATCAGCCACGATGACGGCGGCAACACAGTCATCCAAACCAGCACCACGACCGTGGTGACGCGCAGCGTCAAACGACACGACACCCCAGTGCTGGTGCCCCAGCCACGCCTGGATCTCGTGGAACCTGTCCGCTCGGATCAGCCCTTCATTTCTGAGAAGTTCTCCGCAACGACGTACCGGCCAAATCGGCTGCGACGGTATCACAAGGAGGAGTCGAGCGATCCTGCGTTGAGTCCTCCCCTAGCGTGAGGTGAAGTACCCGGGCGTTGCCCGGTAGCTGGCGCCTAAAAAAGCGTGGCGCAAAAGGGGCGGGGTGTGCGGGGAAGGCAAGAGCGACAACAAAGAAGTGCGGATCGATGAACCGAAGGAGTGAGTTTGTTTGGAGGCAGCTGCATATATGGAGTTACACATAGAGAGAGAAGGACCTATGCGCCTAGGCAAAGCCGATGAAACGTGGAGCTATAATTAACGTACGTGCGATGAAAGTGGTGTGGGGTCCCGCAAGAAGACGAACAACAACAACAGCAACAAAACGATAATAGTAAAAAATAATAATACCAAAGGTCTGGGATGGTAGAAAAACAAAGAAAAACACGCATACACGCACGCAAAAAAAAAAGCGGGATAAGAAGAAGATCCAATATACAAAGAGGCTGAAATTGTTGGAAGTGTAGCCGCGGAAGCAGAAAGAGGGGAGGTGGATGCGCAGTGGAGGTGAAAAATGAGGGAAACTGTCACGCATCAGCTGACGTTGTGTATGCGTGTGTGTGACGGGAGCGGGCTATTGGAGAAGGAGCAGGCAAACTCCGGTAGACGTCACATTAACAGCGAAAGCAAATATAATATATATATATATATAGGCTTGTTTCATTTCCCCTTTTCTTTTATTGCCAATGTTATTTTTCTTTTTCTTGTTATGGTCCGTTTTTTTCTTTCCTTCTATTATTCTTCTATTCCTCCTCAGCTCCACCCCATCTCTTTCATTTGCC